CATTCAATGCATCCCATACATACACAGAAACACACCTTGCAGCCCCTACACATACAAACACAATTTCACACAATGCATTCCTTACACACATATCAGGACATCCCCTACACATCCACCCCCTGTGAACAAACTCATTGGTGGAACATGAAGGTGGACCCTGGGACCCAGACCTTGAGCTGTGTAAAGGACCCCAAAAAATGGAGCTGCTTCCCGTTCTCCCAGAACATTGATTTTTGTGACCACAGTTACAAACCGCCTCCAGAGAGCCTGTTCTGCACCAGACCAGTGGAGCCAGACTGCAGCTAGAGCCCATCATCATCCCTCATCTGGTTGTAAGTAGGCAATCTAGTATATTATTCGTGGCACTAAGCTCTAATTTACCTCACATTAAAGAAACACTATAGTCCCCAGAACCACTTCAGCTTAATGTAGTGGTTCTGGTGTCTCTAGCCTGTCCCTGCAGGCCTTTTAATGTAAACACGGCGGCACTGCAGCACTGGTGTTAGTTAACATGGCATATCATATGGGTGGGGCATTGTGATGTCACATGGGGGGGGCGGCAAACTTTACTTTTGCCTAGGGTGGCAAAAATCCTTGCACCGGCCCTGGCTGGAGGGGGCTGTGTGAGCTGTGGCCGCACAGTGTCCCATGGTAGTTAGGGTGCCGTGCGGCCAGTACAGCTCACACAAGCAAACAGCACGGAGGAAATGTGTATGTGTGACTGTCTGCCTGAAGGGGGCGGGGGTTTTGTGTTGGGACAGGAGTCTTTATAAGGGGGGATAAGCAGGGGATTTGTGGAAGGGGGTTGCAGGGGTTTTGTAGACGGGGCAGTACAGGATTTGTAGAAGGGGCGGGGCAGGACAAGGGTTTTGTAGGAGGGGCAGACAGGGTTTTGGGGGCTGACAGCTTTAAAGTTGAAAAAAAGAAAGAAAACCTTTAACATTTTTTACAGGTTTTTTTGGGGGGGGGGAAGGAAGGGGGGGGGCTGCCAAGCACAGGGTCCGCCCCGGGTGCCAAATGCTCTAGGTACGCCCCTTATGATTAATCTTACAGTCACTACACTCTTGACCCCCAAACAGGAAATGGCCTTGCCTTGTTCTTCTATGTTCACTACTAAGAGAGATGGTAGAAGAAGCACTCTGACATAAATAAATATAAATCCCAGAGAAAGTAGAAAAGTATAAATAAATAAGAAAACAGCATAAATTAAATTGGGGCACAAAATAGGAAGCTCAGGCAGCTCAAACAAAACCAATTCCTTAAGGAAACCAAAATTAGCTCTGTTTCTTTAATTTCATGGCAAAAAAAAATAAAAAATGCACAGGCTATGTCTCTTTACGACTTCCCAAGCTCTGCGCATGCTCAGAAGGGCTTCCCGAAAAGACGTGAACTGCACAAATGTGGCGGCACCGAGGATAGAAATACTAATTGAAAGGACCTGTGCCTCCATTTTTTCCAGAAAATATAAATCCCACAAAGTAGTTTCTTACCACTAGTAAAAATAAACATTACCAGCTGGTCCTGTTTACTGGTTCCTTCAGGGGAGAGAGGCTGGGTCTACTCTGGTAGTACCATGTTATACAAAATATTTATTGCAATTGGGGAATAAAACTAGCCCTGCCTGTCATCTAGGATAGGTATAAAAAAAACTGGGAGGCCCAGAAAGGCAGGAGCTTTTATAGACTGTGCTAATTATTCAATGATTTATTCTTGGGGCTATATATTTGTGCTGGAGCTAGTGCTGAGGTTATTTATTGTTATACAAAAAACACATACCCGTTACTTCCTCTTTAAAAATTGTTCGCAAGATCCCTCCCTCACTCTTTTTGTGTTTTCTGTCTTGTGTGCAGAGGTCCCCTTGGTCTGGCACCAGTGTAGGGGTTGGTCTTCATGTGGTATGGCCAACCTGGGTGGCAGTAGCTGTGGGAGCTATCTGCACAGGCTCCCCATGGGCTCATCCCTAGAAGAGAGAAGTTCAGCTACTGAGCATAAATATCTACGCCGGTTACCACAAGGACATGGATTACGCCTACGCTAGATCCTTGGGGGCTTTTTCCTTGGTGGGCTAGGATAAGTGACTCTTAAGTGCTATACTATAAATTTGCAAGTAAAATCCTCCACACAGAATGATACAAATTAGACAAAAACTCTGAAAAATAATCTGCTCATGAGGTATAGGTATACTTATCAAAAGAGCTATAAACTGGGATCTCAAATATGCATGAATACATGCTGAAAAACATATCATAGTGTGGCAGAAGGTGCAGAATGTCTAACAAAAACCTCAGGCACTCACATGGTTAAAAGTACTATCCACACACACGCGTGTGTGGAATGTCAGGAACGCCTACCAGTAGTTAATATATGTAAGAGATAAGTGTTAACCGTATATATTCTTTGTTCTCTTGTTGTCTAGTGCCCAGTGTATTGTGTATTTTCATAATGCACTGGGACTTTGTGGCTACAATTAATAAACATTTTTGTACTTCCAACAACCTGTGTTTGGAGTGTCCGTGTATCAACCCGAGATGGAGTCCTCCCACAATAGTGCTAACAAAATTTATATATATATATATATATATATATATATATATATATATATATATACACATACAAAGCAGAAGTGATTCGCCGGCATCTGTAGACTCATTAGATATAATGTAACGAGGATAACAGATATGACACGAGCTATCGCTGAACAGGGACTGTAAAGTCACGCCGGATATGATGCAACATTTTGTCGACCAGGACGTGTGGACTTTGCGGATACAGGTGCACCAAATCAATGGATAAAGCCGGGGATTTAAAGGAGGAACTTGTGCAGGAACCATTCACAGGCATTGAAGAAGACTGGAAAGCAGTCGAAACGTCTGCGTTATTGTTTACATATAAACTGTTACTGGACTGTGGCGGTGCTTGTTATTACTTTTATGTAAATTTGCACTGCTAAATATTTTAGTCCCTGTTTTTATACAATTATTTTTATTTACAATAAAGCATTTGAATCGAAGATTCCTGCTCTTTATTGTATGGTGGGTATCATAAGCCAGAATTGGCACATTGGGGCCCATAAATATAGAGCCTGTCTGTCTTTGTGAGTTTTTTTCTATTGAATTTTTATGGTATTTTATGCAGTACTCTATGTATGTTTGAGTTTTATTTGTATTTTAGACTCCAGCTATTGCTGCTGCTACATGTTTTGGAAGCCCTCATCCCATTTCTATTATAAGTATAGTTGTGTGTTCACTTTGGGGTGTATAGGTTTTATGTTTTTGTTTTTTTAATGCATTACAGGTCAGAATATGTTTCTTCTTTATATTCTTGTGGGCGATCACCTATGGCTCTGCTTCCACATAGGATCAAGTCTTTAGCATGGAAATTGCGCATACCATATGCACCAAAACATCTAGTGGAGTGGAAGCAGGTAGATGTCGCGATCTGGCGCCCTATCCAGCAAAAACATATCTGGAGGAATGTCTGAGGGTAGCACTTTTAACAAAGCATGTAGGTAAGTCATCAAAGCATCCCATTACACACTTTCGGGTATATCCCTCAAGGGCAGGTTATTCCTCCTGGACCTGTCCTCTTGGTCCATGAGCTTATATTCATATGATTCCAACTGGGACTGCTACACATGGTCCATCAAGCTGTTATGATCCTCCACAAATTCATGCATTTTGGACTTATGTGGGATGTCCTAATTCCCAAGTCTTGGATGCAGTGTTTACATTAAAAAGCCTGCAAGGACAGGCTATAGACACCAGAACAACTACATTAAGCTGTAATTGTTATGGTGACTATAGTGTCACTTTAACAGGTAATGTCTATAGAAATATAAAATACATATATACCAAGCGGTGTTTTTTTAATTCAATTTTTTTGTAAAGAAAGGATTTTATTCCAATATAATGAGGGATACGTTTAGTGACTATACTTCTCCCTAAATCAAAGAAAGAATAAGGCACTCAGAATATGTGAACACATGGTGTACTTTAATCCATACAAACAAGTTTCTTGGCTTGTGAAGGGCTCAGTGGAACAGAATTGTTGTCACTTGGGTGTGTGGATTAAATCAGGCCTTTGGGGTGTGCGAGCAGTTCAGGGTGCCATGGCAACAGAGGCACCAGGCAGACAACAGCTCACAGTCTGAAGCTGCAATCAGCAGATCTCCCCAATATACACTACTTATTAAGTAGCAGTTACAGTAGTATAGTGACAGGACATTCTCTTTAGCAATACGGCCCGGAACCATTCCCCTTTCTGGTTCCTGTGCTGAGTGCACTTTGAGAGGGGGACAGGATATGATGTCATACCTCTTCACACACAGAACCAGCACAGTGTGAGATATAGAGGAAATTCTGCTATGAAGGCAGGAACAGAGAAAGCGAGTGGCATGCAAAGCATGGGTTAAAGGTAAGAGCAAAGAAAGTGGTGATGGGATGAGATAGAAAAAGGCAAGAGGGGATGGAAGAAGAGACAACTGGTATGAGGTATGGGAGAGAATAACAGTATTGGGAGAGACACGTGAAGTTTGGGAAAGAGGGAGAGACTTAATATGGGGGTGGATAGACAGACTAAAATATTAATACTGGGGATGGTGGTATAGACAGCCTGACATTAATATTGGGGATGGTGGTATAGATAGACTGAAATATTAATATTGGGGATGGTGGTATAGATAGACAGACTGAAATATTAACACTGGGGCTGGTGGTATAGACAGCCTGAAATATTAACACTGGGGATGGTGGTATAGAGAGCCTGTCATTAATATTGGGGATGGTGGTATAGATAGACAGACTGAAATATTAATATTGGGCATGGTGGTATAGATAGACAGACTGAAATATTAATATTGGGGATGGTGGTATAGACAGCCTGACATTAATATTGGGGATGGTGGTATAGACAGCCTGTCATTAATATTGGGGATGGTGGTATAGATAGACAGACTGAAATATTAATATTGGGGATGGTGGTATAGACAGCCTGAAATATTAACACTGGGGATGGTGGTATAGACAGCCTGACATTAATATTGGGGATGGTGGTATAGATAGACAGACTGTAATATTAATATTGGGGATGGTGGTATAGACAGACTAAAATATTAACACTGGGGATGGTGGTATAGACAGCCTGAAATATTAACCCCTTAAGGACGGAACCAAATGTACACGTTGTGAACAAAACAAAACGTAAACAAAACCTGGCATTTGCGCTACATGTCTGTCCAAACGTAATTCACCTCTTTCATATTAAATGCACCCTCACTTATTATATATCATTTTATTCAGGGGAAACAGGGCTTTCATTTAATATCAAATATTTAGCTATGAAACATAATTTAATATGAAATAAATGGGAGAAAATAAAAAAAAACTTTTTTAGTTCTACATGACATTTTAACTGTGAATGTCAAAATACTGTTTGCTTTTACTGCAATAAAATACACATATTTGTAGTCAGCAAAGTATCACGTGTAAAACAGTACAGGTTTTATGGTGCTTTGGGAAGTTACAGGGTCAAATATAGCACGTTACATTTGAAATTGAAATTCACCAGATTGGTTACATTGCCTTTGGGACTTTATAGTAGCCCAGGAATGAAATTTACACCCATAATGGCATACCATTTGCAATAGTAGACAACCCAAGGTATTGCAAATGGGGTATGTCCAGGCTTTTTTAGTAACCATTTGGTCACAAACACTGGCCAAAGTTAGCGTTAATATTTGTTTGTGTGTGGAAAAATGCAAAAAACACCAATTTTGGCCAGTGTTTGTGACTAATTTTTTTTTTTTTTTAAATAGATGCAATAAAATGTCTTTCTTTTCCCTTAGTGAGCTTTTAGGTAAAAGTGCTCTCTTATTTCTTGTTTTATGCTTGAGACTTTTTAGGTTTTTTACAGGATATATAACTTAGGTGATACATAATAATACGTTTCGATTATTTTTTATGTAATTTATATTGCTTATTATTATTCTTCTAAAAAAAAAAAAATGTTCTTGGCTTTTAAAGAGAATTTGCGCTTTGTGTTATTTAGACAATATGCCACTACTAAGATCTAGGTATGTTAAAGGGACACTATAGTCACCAGAAGAACTACAGCTTATTGAATTTGTTCCGGTGAGTAGAATCATTACCTTCATGCTTTTTGCTGTAAACACTGTCTTTTAAGAGAAAATGCAGTGTTTACATTACAGCCTAGTGATAACTTCACTGGCCACTCCTTATATGGCTGTTAGAGATCCTTCCTGGGTCATGGCTGCCTAAAATGTATCCAAACATTCAATGTCTCCTCCCTCTGCATGCAGACACTGAACTTTCCTCATAGAGATTCATTGATTCAATGCATCTCTATGAGGAGATGCTGATTGGCCAGGTCTGTGTTTGAATCATGCTGGCTCTGCCCCTATTTGTCAGTCTCAGTCAATCCTATGCGGAAGCATTGTGATTGGATCAGGCTACCACTTCTGATGATGTCAGCAGGCAGTGGTGGGCAGGTCTAAAGAAAACAGGAACAGAGCCAGCAGCTCCAGACTACATACAATACAGTAAGATTTCTATAAAGACTGCATTTTCCATCCTGCAGTGAAACACCTACCACTCTCAGGTACTGACTGAAGCTGGAAGACACTCCACCTCCTGTATTCCTGATTGCTAACATTCTCATGTATTACTATAGATTTGTAACCATTTTACCTGTAGGTTGTAATATTCTGTGCATGCAGTATGTACTATAGTCATTTAATGTTTCTGACCAATACTTCATGTAGACAGTTATTCATATTTTGGGTGATAGAATTTGGTTGCTAAACATTTCAATAGTAAATAACACATGGATACTCTACACCCCTCCTCTCCCCCTCTCTCACTCTCCTTTTCTCCTCCCCAGTTGTAAATACCTCCATATAACTGTTCAATCCCATGCTCTGTTCTTCAGGCCTCACTCAACTCAGTGAAAGACTGCATTTTTTTCTCCCCACCCGGGCTCCCCCTAAATATATAGCATGCTCCTCCAGCTATTTGAGATTCTCACCCAATTACCTCTTCATTCCCCTAACATCTTAACAATAGCTGCTTCTCTGTTAACTCTTTCAGCCATCACCTCCAAACATCCCCTGCTACCTCTTGTCTCAAATCCCCATGGTATCCTTTAGATGGTAAACTCACGGGCCATCTAGCCACGCACTTTGTATAAAAGAGCTCCAATGGCTAGATATCAGCTTACGGGCAGGGCTCTCTCTACCTCTTGTATTTGTCTGTGTATATTGTACGTTTCTCCTCTAATTGTACAGCGCTGCGGAATCTGTTGGCGCTTTATAAATAGCAGTAATAAATAAATAAATGAGGGGCTCAGGATGGCTAGATGGTGGTTTTAACCCTATAGGGTCAGGAATACATGTTTGTGTTCCTGACCCTATAGTGCTCCTTTAATGTGTATTTGACTAATGGACCTGAGAGAGGACTTAGCACACAAATTTAGTGATTTATGCAAGGAATGATTATGTTTGTTGAAACAAACCCACCCAGGTGGGTGGACTTCTAAATGCAGACTGGAAGGAGATGAGAAAGTGATTTGAGGAAGCTGATAGGCAAAACGTGTCATCATGCACTCCCACGTCATGTTACCTCATCACGTGGTCTGGACGCTTACCCTGCCTCCCGGAAGTGGCCGTGTGAGAGATCTGGAAGATCTGAAGTTTTGCAGCTGGTAGCAAACTGAATGGTGAAAAGACTGTACACAGCACACATTCGAAAGAAGGAGGTGGACTGGGGACGTTCTTTTAAAGTGTTATGTGAATAAATATTTGCGTCCTCTCCTGCATCATCTACCCTATTTGTGGTCTACACGTGCTGAAAGTTAGAGCAGGCTCATCTGCTCTCTATTTGTGAGTGCTTCTTTATATTTTACACCTATAATATTTTTTTTAAAAGATCACACTATGTTCTGTTTCTGTATTTTTTTTTTTTTGAGTACTAACTCGGATGGTATAGAGCTGCCTGCAATTTTAACAACATATTGTTGTAAGTGTTTTATACAACTTTCCTGGCCATATCCATGGCAGCACAACAATGGGTTAGCTCCTCCCTATCCCTAATTAGACAGGAACAGAATTAAAATCAGGGGTATAAATACCCCCTCCCACCAATGGTCCCTTAGTCTTTTTTTTCCTGTCCTATCCCTATAGGACTCCAGTCATTGTAGACTGTGAACATACTCTTTTCTCTTTGGCTTACCTGAGGGTTTTTACCTTCGGCCTTAAGGGAGTTCAGCCTCTCTTCCTTGGGAAGTCTCCAGTACGTGGCCCTGCGCAAAGGATATCCCCCTGGAGATGCTCCTTTAGTGACCGGGAGCCACTTGCAGTGACCCTAGGGGTAGCAAGCAAAATATTGCCAGTAAGGAACATTCCCTGCAGTAACCAAGCGGTAGCAGGAAGTGGCAGAAGAACCTCATCTACAGAAGATTCTTCTTACCTTTACCTGGCAGGCACAGTAAGTTTTAATGCATTTATTGTGTATTATTTTACTTATGGCTGTCAGGTTTTCCCCCTTCCACCTCCTTTGTATGTGCCATAGATTTTGTATTTTTTTTTTTTTCTCCCCTTTTCCCCTTTAATTTTGAATTTACCGGGCTTGCCGCCATCTTGCCGGCGTCCTCTTGGTGCTCTGCGCGTGCGCGGACTGTGGGCGCGTCTTTCCCGGTCCCCCGCGCATGCGCGGTCCAGCCACCACGTCGTGGCTTCTTCCGCGCATGCGCGGACCGGTAGCTACGTCTGTTGCGTCTCCGCGCATGCGCGGATTAGGGGGCACGTCTTGCGAACTTCCGCGCATGCGCGGAGTATTGTGCACATGCGCGGAGTGTTCTTCCGGGTTCGCGGTGACGTCATCGGTGACGTCACTCGCCACCTTTAAAAAGGCGCCAAATTTGAACTTTCTTACCTGTTTCAGGTTACCTGGACTCTGGGGAACTCTTCCAGTATCTTTTGTTCCAGTTTTGTTCGATTTTTCAAACCTCCAGTTTCTGTTGCTCAGGTATGGGTTTATTTCTTAAAGGCACATTTCCCTTTTTTCACAGATTGAGTTTTTATGCTTTTTTGAGTATAAATATTTCAATTCCTTCCTATATTATGACAGGGAAGATGGACAAATCTTTCTCATCAGAGGCTTCCATTCATAAACAAAGGTCACAATCCAAAGGTTATAGGTAAGCCATTATTTTTCCCTCTCTCTATCTAGACCAAACAAAAGAGTGCATGGTTTAATTATATTTCCCTATTATGTCAGCTCTACGGGAATTAAAGCATCCAGAACTTCCAAAGGCAAGTCGCCTATGAAGAAGAGATGCGAAGCCTGCAACAATAAACCTCTGGAAGGCAGGCGTCTCTGCGCAGAATGCCTCTCTACAGCCGCAGGCACTTCCACTACTGCCCCTACTCCAGATATGATGGAGTTTATTAAACAAGCGGTCTCCCAGGGCATCAGAGAAGCTGGCAAGTCCCACAAGAGGCCAAGATTCGCTGAACCCTTGGGGTTTTCTCGGGAAGAATCCTCAGATGAGTCCTTAGACTCCTACAGGGACGGGCTATCCTCCTCTGAAGAAGAATCTTATGCCCCAGAATTCATGGAGCCTGCTCAAGTTGATCATTTAATAGCCAGAGTGCGCAAATCCTTGAGTCTCAAGGAAATTTCCTCTGAGCAACCTTCTACTTCTAGTAGATATTTTGCTGATCTGAAGAAAAAGAGAGCTACGTTTCCAGCTCATGAGACAATTAAGGAGCTGATTGAAGACGAGTGGTCTAATACTCGTAAGAAACTGACCTCTCAAGGCAGAGTTGCTCGTCTTTATCCATTTGAGAAAAAAGACTCCAGCTGTTGGGATTCGGCTCCTAAGGTAGATGCGGCCATAGTAAGACTGGCCAAACACACTACTTTACCAGTTGACGACGCAGGTTCATTCAGAGATCCCATGGATAGGAAAATGGATCTGAACCTCACCAAAGCTTACGTGGCTGCAGGCACAGGCCTCCATCCAGCAGTCGCTCTTACCTCAGTTTCCAGAGCTTTAAAGATCTGGATGGAAAATCTAGAGGCAGACATCCAAAGAGGCAGGAGCAGATCCAGTCTTCTAGAAAGCCTAAAAGATATATAGCTTGCAGTAGACTTTACGTCTGACGCTTCGGTGGATCTGGTTAAAGCCTTTGCCAGAAATATGGCCCTCTATGGTTAAGGTCCTGGATAGCAGATACCTCTTCTAAATCTAGTTTATGTGCCTTACCTTTCCACGGCGACATGTTGTTTGGGAAAAACTTGGATGAATGTATTAAAAGAGCAGCTGAAGGCAAAGGATCGTAAACCCAGAGGTTCCTTTCGATCCAAAAGATATCCAGACTATTTTTCCTTTCGAGATGCCAGATCTTACAAACCTGGAAGAGAGCATGGTAGATCCCAGCCTTGGAGAGGTGGACAGTCATCCAGAGGCGGTAAATCTAGAGGCACCTCATTCCACAAGAACCCCAGATCTTTATGACTGGTTTCCCCCCCAGTCAGCAGGTGTGGGGGCACGTCTGTTGCTCTTCCAAGACGTATGGGAATTATCCACCACAGACAGATGGGTGTTGGATATCATAAGAAGGGGATATCGTTTAGAATTTTTCAGAACCCCTCCAGCTTACTCCTTTCAAACTACCAAATGGCCAGGAGACGCAGCAAAAAGACAGGCCTTGAAAGATTTCATCTCGACGCTCCAGGAAGGAAATGTCATCATTCCAGTTCCTCAGCAACAACAAGGTCAAGGGTTTTACTCTCACCTGTTTCTCACCAGAAAAGCTTCACGTGGTTGGAGACCTATCTTAGACTTAAGCAGGCTGAATCGGCATCTCCTCATCCGAAAGTTCAAGATGGAATCTATTCAATCCATCATAAAGGTCGTCTTTCCACTCCAATGGATGATTTCTATAGACTTGGCAGACGCTTATTTCCACATCCCCATCGCTCCAGAACATCAGAAATTCCTTCGGTTTGCGGTGGAACAAGGGCATTTTCAATTCCGAGCCCTGCCGTTTGTTCTCAGCACAGCTCCAAGAACATTCTCCATGGTCTTGGTTGTTTTGATTGCGGAACTCAGGAAAAAGGGCATAGCCATTTACCATTACTTAGACGACATCCTCATCTTGGCAGAAGACACAGATACTCTTCAGACCCATGGACAGGTTTGTCTACGTTTTCTACGCCGTCATGGTTGGAAGATAAACGAGAACAAGAGCCAATTACAGCCGGTTCAGGAGATGAAATATTTGGGGGGCCATATTCAACACTCTAGCAGGCACAGTGCAACTGTCTCCAGAAAGAGGTACGAAATTGATGTACAAAGTCAAAGACATGTTGGCATCCAATGTGACCTCAGCAGAAAGATGCATGAGCCTATTGGGATCAATGTCCTCCACCATCGGGCTGACAAGATGGGCCCAGTGGAGGATGAGGATTTTCCAGAAGAACTTCATCCTTCAATTCAGATCGAAAAGTCCACTTCAGCCTATCAAGATACCCCCACAGGTCCATCAATCTCTGATTTGGTGGTTACAGAAGAAATCCCTGTTCAGAGGGTTTCCATTGGGGAACATCACATGGACAGTTATTACCACGGACGCAAGCCAGTGGGGATGGGGTGCCCACCTACAAGATCAGTTTATCCAAGGGAAATGGTCCTTTCTAGTAACAGAGACTCCCTCCAACCAATTAGAGCTTCTGGCAGTTCTAAAGGCTCTAGAGAATTTCCTTCCCCTCATACGCTTCAAGTGGATCAAGATCAGATCAGACAATTCCACTGTAGTTGCCTACATCAACCATCAAGGGGGAACAAGGAGTCGGAAAATGATGTCCATCATGAAGCCCCTAATGTCCTTCTCCCAGAAGCATCTTGCGTGCCTATCAGCGATCCATCTTCCGGGAGTCCAGAATTCCATAGCGGATTACCTGAGCAGAGTGGAATTAGATCCAGGAGAATGGAGTCTGTCAAACAAGGTGTTCAAAGACATTTCTCAAGTATGGGGCATGCCACAAGTCGACCTTATGGCAACACACAAGAACAGGAAGGTGCAGCACTTCTTTTCAAAAAGCATCGATCCCCAAGCATCAGGAAGGGATGCTCTTTCAATCGATTGGGATTTTCACCTAGGCTACGCATTTCCTCCTACGCCCCTCATCTTTCCTCTTCTGAGACGATTGAGGCAGGAGAAGGTATCCATCATCCTCATAGCCCCCTTTTGGCCTCGCAGGCCGTGGTTTCCTCTGTTGTTGAGCCTCTGCAGCGCAGACCCCTGGCAGCTTCCAAATATTCCGTCCCTTCTACATCAGGGTCCTGTCCTCCATCCAGACCCTGCCTCCCTCAAGCTGATGGCATGGAAATTGAAAGGGAAAGGTTGAACTGCAAGGGATTTTCCCATTCTGTCATTGAAACTCTACTGCAAGCAAGGAAACGCTCTACATCTTCCACTTACTACAGAATCTGGGACGTTTTTTCCTCCTGGGCTGCATCCAACCACAGGAATATTCAGTCTATCTCCACCAAGGAGATCCTTGAATTTCTACAATCCGGTCTTGATAAGGGTCTTAGCTACAATACCCTGAAGGTACATATTTCAGCTCTTTCGGCCCTTACGGACCAGAGATGGGCCTTAAACTCAGATGTGATCAGATTTATGGCAGCAGTTTTGAAAATCAAGCCTCCTATCAAGCCCTTCGCTCCACCATGGGATCTTCCCTTGGTATTAAAGGCTCTGAGCAATTCTCATTTTGAACCTCTTGAATCCATCTCTCCTCAGGTACTCACCATTAAGACGGTTCTATTGGTGGCCTTAGCCTCAGGTAGACGAGTGTCTGAACTCCATGCCTTATCTACGAAAGAGCCCTTTACAGTTTTTCATAAGGACAGAGTTGTTTTGCGAACTGTTCCCGAATTTCGTCCTAAAGTGGTGTCAGCTTTTCACATCAACGAAGATATAATACTCCCGGCTCTTCATTCAGAGTCTTCTACTGAGAATGATGAATCTCTGCCTTCTCCATTGGATCTTGTTCGATGTCTGTCTGTCTATCTACAAAGATCTTCAGCCTGGCGGATCTCTCAAAGGCTATTCGTTATCCCCAACGGCCCCAGAAGAGGCCTTCAGGCTTCTAAGATGGCCATCAGTAGATGGATTGTTGCCGCCATCGTTCAGGCTTACCAAGCCTCAAAGATGAAGGTTCCGGAGGGGCTCAAGGCTCACTCCACGAGGTCCCTTTCCTCTTCCTGGGCAGCAGCTGCTAATTTGTCACCCGAGCTGATTTGCAAAGCAGCCACTTGGTCTTCTCCAAACACGTTTATTAAGCATTACCAGATTGACGTTAAAGCCAGCCAATCAGACTCTTTTGGCAAATCAGTCTTATCCGCAGTCAACTCTTCTTGATTAATTTCTATTTGCACGTGTGATTTCTAATACACCAGCATTTAAAAATGTTCTTGAGTCTGTGTTTCTTTATTCCCTCCCTTGGTTATTGCTTGGGTATTACCCATTGTTGTGCTGCCATGGATATGGCCAGGAAAGATGAAAATTTATCCATACTTACCGTAATTTTCCTTTCCTGGTCATAGGCCATGGCAGCACTTAGATCCCGCCCTGGGATATTGCTGTTAACAAGACTAAGGGACCATTGGTGGGAGAGGGTATTTATACCCCTGATTTTAATTCTGTTCCTGTCTAATTAGGGATAGGGAGGAGCTAACCCATTGTTGTGCTGCCATGGCCTATGACCAGGAAAGGAAAATTACGGTAAGTATGGATAAATTTTCATCTTTCTCATTGGAAGCACTTTTGCAAAGGAGTGCACATCACGTATGGTTCTATGCCCAAAACCATTCCTGAGAATTAGGCTGTGCGGTCAGTCTTCTAGAAATAACAAAAATAGGTGGATATACTTGACAAATACAATAGCTTCTTTTTTGTATGATTATTTTACTCATTGTCTAATTGCGATGTAATCATACACCTGAAAAAATAAAGAATTTTAAAAAACAAACAAAAAAAAAACATGACAGTTGTCTTGTACGTAGATCAGACACCATCAAATATGTAGATAGCGAGATCTGCTTCAAGTTTTTAATATATATGCTGTGCAATTATATTTTACTTTCAGCATTTTATTATCAAAGGAGGATTGATACATCTTTCCAAATGTGTGTTTTTTTTTTTTTCATAAGTGTCATTTTTAGCAGGTAGTTGTTTGATGGCCTGATATGTTTTTTCTTCCTTTTCAGGAAAGTTCATCGTGGAGATCCTGACTGCTTCCTAGCAGAACTCTCGACACCAAACTCTGTTTATGTGAAAAACTTCAAAAAAAAGAAACAAGTTGGCAAACTCTACAATGCACCATTTTCAAAGAGGGGTGTGCTTTCCTTTTAGAAAATTTACCAACTAGGTGCATTAATTGTCTTAAGCTACATTCACAAATGTATTTATTGGTTTCCATATGCTGTGAAAAAGCAATTCAAGAACTTGCTGGCTGATTCTGAATAAGTACAACAGGCATTGTACTGACCATTTGTTAATTTTTGTTTCAGCTTTCTTATGACTTGAAAATTCTGTGGAATAAAAAGCTAAGGAAAAGTGATAGTCACTGTTAAAACACTTTCAAGCAACCTCCTTACTTAGAGGGCTCTTCTGTTATACATCTGTCGGAGAAAGTTAGTGACTCTGCAGGTAAATTACGAACTGTATCATGCCATGCTAGTGGCGTTTACTTTTCTTGCTTTGTAACATTTTGTGGAACAAAACGTATATAAACGTATATACTCGAGTATAAGTCGACCCGAATATAAGTCGAGACCCCTAATTTTACCCCAAAAAACTGGGAAAACGTATTGACATCGAGTATAAGACTAGGGTGGGAAATGCAGCAGCTACTGGTAAACTTCTAAATAAAATTAGATCCCAAAAAATTACATTTATTGAATATTTATTTTGTGTATATAATGAATGCAGTGTGTGTGTGTGTGTGTTTTGTCTTTCTCTCTCTTTTGTCACTCTCTTTTTTGTTTTTTTCCCTTGTTTCTCTCCCTTCTGGTCATCCATATATTGACAGTCCTTGTATCTGTGAAACAATATCTCTGTACAAACAAGAGCAGTACTTAAGATGAATCAACACATGACAAAACAGGAATAGTGGGTAAAATTGCATATTCTGTTCCAAAATCTGTAATATCTGCATTTGAAATTATTAATTAGATAACGTTTTACTTTATTGAATTATATTTCCTAACCTCCAGGTCATGTTCGGGACACACTGATCCATGAAGTCTGTCATGCAGCTGCTTGGTTAATTCAAAAGGCCACTGCCCAGCCAAGCTACGTGCCGTCACAATTATAAAATACATTTCAAATTCACCTATCAATACGTGACTGCAAAAAGTTGTTTGGTACATTTTTGTCTGATTTATATTATTGCTTTGTTGCTCAAGTGAAAGGCTTGTTAATTTTCAAAGAATATACACAACAAGGCTCAAGGCAGAGTTCTGCTGAATTATATCCTGCCTATTTACTAGCATACATGCAAAGCTCATTTATAGACTTTATGTAGGTTGTTATGATAAGCATGCGCATAGTACCAACATGTTCCGCAGCGCTTTGCAATTATATACAGGGGATATTAGACAGCAAGTAATTGACATGAAGAATTTTAAAGAGACACTCTAGGCACCCAGACCACTTTAGCTCATTACAGTAGTCTGGGTGCAGTGTCTCATCACCCTTAACCCTGACCATGTAAGTTTTTATAAACTGCAATAATTACCTGCTAGGGTTATTATTATTATTGGTATTTATATAGCGCCAGCATATTTCGTAGCGCTTTACAAAATTATCATGGGAGATTTAACAATAAATAAAACAATTACAAAAAAAACTTTAGGAGATGGTGTATAAAACACAATAGGACAGGGTTAACTCCTCTAGTGGCTATCTACAAGACAGGCACTAGATGGACTTCTGGGCTTGAAGGTGTCACCGGAATCCCCATACTAAAGCACTGAATAATGCTTTCCTGTGTGGAAATCCTAATGCGTGCGGCCATTGCTGCGCATTAGGTTTCCGGCGGGGTAGGGGCGTGGGCAGACCCAGGTAAGTGACAGAAGGGGTTATTAACCCTCTCTGCACCATGGGTGGAGAGAGGGCACGACAGAGGGGAAAGCTGTAGTGCCAGGAAAGCAAGTTTCCTTTCCTGACTATAGTTTTCCTTTAATAGAAGCAAGAGGTGATCAATGCCCTGCTCAAATGAGCTTACAATCTACGAGGAATTGAGGTAGGCAGATATATATTGTTAGATAGTAAAAACAAAGAGAACGTTACCTGCGCTCTGGCCTTAATCCCTATGTATATTTAAACAAAATGGAGGCTCTTTAGTTTTATTCCAATGGCCATTTGAATATAAGCTCACCTGACACGTCAAGGCAAGCCCCAAAAGGTGAGTCCTACATTAGCCATTACCTTTCTTCTGCCTTTCATTGTAGGACCAGACATCATTCAAAGTCACTAGATACAGAGAAGTTTGACATGTCTTGGGGAAATTGTCTTGCTGGAATCTCCTTGAAGAAAAAGCTATCCTCCCAGCAGTGCCATGGAACAACTAACCACCCCTGTCCTGATGTGACCTGTAAACATACAAACTGTAGAATTATTATAATTTGTTTGTATTTTGTGTTACTATGCAGTCCGAACTCCCTCCCTAGAGAAATCACACATACAAATTCACAATTAATTATACACACATACACAATAATATAAATAGATATTCATAGTCACACATATTTACATTCATATACACATAGACACACACACATATGAAAACACACACATATACAATGACTCAATACACAAACATTAATTTATCCACACAGATTCAGACCCATATACCCACACAAACTAATAGAAACACACAACATGTGTTATATAAGACTCGTATAGATAGACACACACATAAATGTACAAACAGACATACATATACACACAGACTTATTTATTATTATATCTTCAAAAAATTGCTAAAATGAAACTGTTATATTAATAAAATAAAAATTGCATACCTAAATTATAATGTAGTCCACTTCATTAACACTCTGTATGTTGGAGCTCCTCTTCATGCTCCTGGCTAGGAGCTCAGGCTGATGCCAGAGTGCAGTGGTGTTGGGGGAGCTGAAAAGTGGGGAAAGGCACCCAATGTTGCAGCAATACCTGTTACCATATGTGGTCTCAGGGTGCCAGCCAGGGGCGGATGCAGAACCGAATATCGGGAGGGGCACTTGGAGATTATTTACAGGCACAATCCAGGTGCAATCACCACTACAGCTCTCTGTAGTGGTTATGGTTACAGTAGTGCTGTGGTGCCCTCCCAGAATAAGCAGTCAAACCGTTTAAGAACCATTTGACAACTTACCTGGGATCTGCCGGGATAGGGACTAGCAGGAGATAAGGGCTGTAATGTGTATGTGTGTGAGAGATGCAGTGTGTTTGTGTGAGGATTGCAGTGTGTGTATGGAGGGGGGCAGTGTGTGTGTATGGGACAGTCAGGGCCGGTGCAAGGATTTCTGCCACCCTAGACAAAGATCTATTTTGCCATCCCCTCATGTCACTCACTCGCTGACAGACATACACTGGCAGACATATACTCACTCACTGACACACACTCACTCACTGGCAGACTCACTGAGACACACACACACCGACAGGCAGACACTCACTGAGAAACAGACACTCACTGACAGACAGACACTCACTCACTGCCTCTCCATGAGAGGCGACCGGAGAGTCAGGTGAGGAACAGCCTGTGCCAGCCCAGCCACCCCTATCACCCTCTGCCAGTCAAGTCACCCCAACACCCTATATCAGTCCAGTCACCCTCTGCCATCCACCCTCTGCCAGCTGAGCCACCCTTATCACCCTCTGCCATCCCTATCACCCTTTGCCAGTCCAGCCACCCCAACACCCTCTGCCAGCCCAGCCACCTCCATCACCCTCTGCCAATCCTATCACCCTCTGCCAATCAAGCCACCCCATCACTCTTTGCCAGTCCTATCACCTTCTGCCAGCCCAGCCACCCCATCACACTCTGCCATCCACCCTCTTTCATCCCTATCACCCTCTGCCAGTCCAGCCACCCCATCACCCTCTGCCAGTCCTCTCACCCTCTGCCAGCCCAGCCACCCCATCACCCTCTGCCAGTCCTATCACATCTGCCAACCCAGCCACCCCCATCACCCTCTGCCAGTCCAGCACCCCTCTCACCCTCTGCAAACCACTGACATACATACACTCACTGACAGACACACACACACACTAACTGACAGACACACTCACTCACTGACAGTCAGTAAGACACTCGCACACAGATTCCGACATCCAGCCTCCCTACCTTCGTGGAGTCCGGTGTGGGTCAGCTCCTAACTCCTCCAGCATGCTGTTTAGTATGCCGGTGCCAGAAAGACTTCATATTCCAGATCCTGGCATCACAGAAATGCGCAAGGGAGGAGTGAGAGGCTGCAAGAATAGCCTCCCTCGCCGCCTGCCTGCTCCTTCCCCCTCTCCTCCTGGTCATCGGCATTTTTTGGCAGAGCAGGTACCTGCCATCAAGATAAGCAGGTGCCTCTCTCTGCCTTACCTAGCACAGATTCAGTTGCGCCCTGAGGTGGCCATATCTCGGCGCCCCCACCTTTGGGCGCCTTGAGGATCGGCCCGGCGCTGGGGGTGGCTCGAGCCGCTCGCCCAGCGATGTGGCCCCAAATAAGGGCAGTAATGGTACAGTAATTTAGAAGTTGCAAAGTGTCCTAATAGGAACACAAGTAGCTAATTTACTAAATAGGAGGTGCCATAATTTACGTCTAAATATAAGTAGCGTCTAGTCCTGCATAAACGTGCTGGAAATTGTAAAGTTGGCTAGAAATGCAAAAACTAGTAAAACAGGATGAATAACTTATTCATCAAATAGGCAATACAGAACTGTGCTGCCTAATAGTGCTGAGAGTAATAAAATTAAATAAAGCATAAAGCACTCATAACCAGAAATATGTATAACTTAATCCGTTCAGCCACTTAATATATGGCAGAATCTACTGTAATCATGGACCTGTAGAGTAACTGAGTTACTGAGTAGAAGGTGCCGATAGATATAGAGAAAATAAAGTAATAAGAACAGTGCCTTTATGGACACCTTTAACAGTAAAGTAATAGATGAAAAAAGAGACTTTTAGCAGAGTGTAGAAAAGAGTTAGTGCTTATAAAGTGCTATTCCAATTAGCTATTTTGAGAAAATGCCCTGGTAGGCATATTACTTCCCAATCACTTGAAGTGGCTATCAATCAGCCAGGTTCTAGGGATACCCTATATGGTCACTGAATTTTTGCGGGCTGTGAGGTCTAGACCGCAGCAAGGGTACCGTAGAAAAAGGGATGCAAACGAAGATATCGGGAAAGTGTCGAGCCCAAGTTTGTTGAGCCTTGCATTTCTAGCCAGCTTTACAGTTTCCAGCACGTTTATGCAGGAGTAGACGCTACTTATATTTAGACATTATAAATTATGGCACCTCCTATTCAGTAAATTAGCTACTTGTGTTCCTATTAGGACACTTTGCAACTTATAAACCATTACTGTATCTTAACCGTTCCATGTTAGGCAGTAGATCGTGACCCAAACGTTACCAAGTATCACATCGCTCATTGGACCTGTTTAGTGACATAATCCTGCAACAAGTTTAGCAAGCCGACTCTTACTTATTTGTTGCCAATTTGGGCACCCTTTAATAAGTTAGTTAGCTATACAATGCCTATTGGGACACTTTGTAGCCTTAAGCATATAGGCTTCTACGGTGTCCAATCGGCACGATATTAGCTAGTTTTACATGTATCAGACGACATTAAGCAAGCCGTCTACACATCTAACAGACCCCTACACAGGCAGTAGTACCATACTTTATTCAATTTTTAGTTCCAACGCCGATCACGGCTTCTGATTTTTTGCCTGTCCTTTCCAATTAGCTCTGTTCCTCGTTTAATCCACACCACAATACTGGAGACTGCCACCAATAGCTCTGCTCCAGACTGTTTGTGTGGACCTATGTGACTGACTTTTTTTGTGTCATCCTCCACTCCCCTTATCCCTTATACGTATGCCCCTTGCATAAACTACCGTTATTGCCTCTGTCTGAGTCAGACAGTTAGACAAAGGGACTGTGTGTCTATAGTTCTCTTTTTTGGTATATACAATAAAGTATCTTCGTGATTTTTAAGCACACTTCTAATTATAGGGACAGATTCCTCTCTTATTTCTGTTAGAAAAATAAACCTATTGCAGTTACGAAAGGAGACAGAAGGGAGGGGAAATTTATCTTTCCCTTGCAGGCACTCTGTGTGCAAGGGAGGAGATTTTTACATCTGTTGCCAGTGTGCTGATAAAAACGTAAAACATGCACAGAATTGACATTAGGAAGCCCAGAACAGAGTTCTGGGATGACTAAGTCATGTGTGCTAGGGGTGCAACTAGTCCCTGGCACACAATTAAAAATAATTCTGCATGTGCCATGTTTCAAGCAGGAACCCTGCACATACAGACCACTTCCAACCACTAAATTGCTCATGGTGGTTGGAGCAACCCTTTAAAAGATGCGTGGACAGGAGGGAAGGGTGCTGGATGGGGTGGAGGTATTAAAAGGTACCTGTAGATACAATTTATTTATTTTTTTATATAAAAAGTGCTTTTAGGGTAAATGGCAGAAAATTAATACTCCTTGCACCAATGGAGACAAATCTCTCAAAGTAATAGTGAGAATAATAAGTTCTCACTTTTGCTGCATCTGAGCACTTGTATCCAGCCACATGCAGCAGAATTTGTGATGACAGACACTTTCCGATAAACATATACTTATATAAAAATATATATCATCTAGTTCCTTTTCTTTCACTCATCTTTTATTTTTCCAACCCTTTTTGTCGCATTAAAGTTTGTAATACTTTCAGATGAACAATTTCTACAAAGAAACATTTCTATTGATGCATCAATTGTGCGAATCAGTGGCATACTAAGGGGGTGCGGGTGAGGGCGGTCCGCCCCGGGTGCCACCTGGTAGCGGGGTGCCATGACCCTGATCTGGGTGAGGGAGGGGGATGTGCCCCATGGCAGCTGGGGAGCCGGACGGCCAGCACAGCTCAGACACACAATTACCAGCTGAACTGGCCGCATGGAAGGAAAGCATGGTGGAGCTAAGAAAAGTCAGGGCGGAGCTTAACACAGAGGTACAGCAAGAAGCAGAGGCGGCTCTCTAATTAGGTGGTTTAGGCAGCCACCTAAGGCCTTGTGCTGGCTGGGGCCTCGCGGCTGCCTAAACCGCTTGTGGGCAGACTGTGTTAGATCCTCGGTCAGTGACCGAGGACCTGACACCAGGAGGGGGCCCGGCGGCTTGGCCGGTATGCCGCCGGGTGCGAGGCCCCTCCTGGCTGCCTGGCCAGCCACCGCAGACACCGGTCTGCTTCTCCGCAGTGAGCAGAACTGCAGACCATGT